GGAAGATGTTCCCAGGATCTTCTCCACTGCCCACTGCGGCTGCTGATGGATCTCCTTTGGAGGTGGGGGGGGGGGGTGTTATCCTTCTCAAATGGTTCCTTCTTTTTAGATCCTGAAGAAAGGGGGTCATTTCCCCCCCAAAAATGAATCTAGAGTGATTCTCATTCAAAATGCTCAAACATGTGAGTTGTCCAAAAATGGGGTGACTTGGCGAAGTTCTCCCGAGGGGAAGGTGAATCTCGCTCCCCAAGGAAGGAGGACACCCAGAAGGCGCCTGATGAGACCTCAAGGGGACTCCTGGCGGGGGAGGCCTCCCCGCTCTGTCCTTCCCCCAATTCTCCCTCCCCAAGGGAGGCTCAGCTGAGGCAGCCCCTCTGGCCCAGGATCCCCCCAGGAGCCCTCCGGCCACGCAGGGACTCTGCAGAAACAACCCCCGGCGTCCCCAGGAGAGGAGGGAATTCTTCGTGTCCCCACGGAAAGAGGAAGGGCTGCAGCGGCTTCTGTGGCGGGAGGCGCAAATGGCAGCAGAAGGGGAACATTTCGAGGTCCGGAACCAGAAGGTGGAGACGGGGAGGCTCCCTTACCCCATTTCCCCGTTTGAAGCCCTTCCCGGCTGCCTGGGGACAGGCCACTCTCTGGCGGGCCCTCCCCGAGCTGAAGGGAAGGAGGGAGGGGAGCCCAGCTGTTGAAAAACAGCTGCCAGAGTCAGGCAGCCTCATCCAGGCCATTGGCCACAGCGGGGGCTGCTCCACCGGGTGGGCGGCAGGTGCCGGGAAGGCCGAGCCTTCTGCAGAAAGGGCCCCTGGGGGGGAGAGGATCCTCCCCCTCTGAGCTCAGCCGTGCAGGAGCCCCCCCCTTCCCCCCCCGCCTGTTACTCAGCCCAGACATTGAGTCAGTTTGGCTTTCAGGCCTGGGAAGGGAAAGGCCTCCTTGCTGCCCCCATCCCCGCCTCTGAGCCGGCCTCGATGGACAGAGGGCTGCCAGCTTCTGGCCTCGGCCCTTTTCCCCCAGGAGATGCTCCTTCCGCTTCCACGAAAGCCCCCGAGGCTCCGTGTCCTCACCTTTTCCCCCCAAACAACACGGCAATGAGGAGCTCTCCACTCTCCAACTGGAAGTTCTCCTCCTCCTCCTCCTCCTTCATTCTCAGGCGCCGGAGCGACTCCAGGGGGGCCCCTCCTCCCCCTGGCTCTGCCCCGGTGGTTCCTCCCCATCATCTCTGCTGCTGCTGCTGCAGAAAAGCCCCCAGGAAGCCTCGTCTGCCCCCTTACCTGCTCAGGAGCGTTGATGACGCCCGTATTGTACCCGAACTGGAGGGATCCGATGGCTGCCACGGACACAGCAGCCAGAAGCGGCAAGGTGATCTTCTTCTGAAATGACACCAGGGCCACAGTCAGCGTTTCCCCCCCCAAAGGCCAACCCCCTCGCGGCTCCCCTTAAGGCGGCAAAGCCCTCCGGTCCACCCTTCATGGGAGGGGGGGCTCCGAGCCAGCCGGGACCCCTGGAAACAGACCAATGATGGCGAACCTTTCCGGCACCAAGTGCCAAAAAGGGAGCCCGTGTGCGCACACACCTCGGGGACGTGGCCCAGAAGAGGAGCTGCCCAGAGGGCGTGCCGGCATTCGCACGTGCACCAGGCAGCTCCTTGTATGGTTTTCGGCGTGTGTGTGTGTGTGAGACGATCAGCTGGCTGGCGTGGATTCGCATGTGGAAACCAGAAGATCAGCTCCCCCAGTTTCCAGGACTGCCGCACGTGCAAAAGCCAGCTGATCATTGCGCATGCATGCGCACCCTTAAGAGCCACGGGCAGGCGCGCCATAGGTTTGCCCTCACGGGCCTGAACAGTCCCTGGACTTCCCTTGGCAAGACCTCAGCGGCTCTGCCTCGCCTGCTCCTTCCCAGGGCTCGGGGCGGGGGGAGGAGAGAAACTGTGGGTGGGGGGCAGCTGGCAGTCAGGGTCCCTCGGCTGCTGGCCTGAACCCCCACACCCCACTCAAGGCACCTCTGGGGCACCGTCTCCTTCTGAGGGTAGTCAAAGGGCTTCTCTGCCTCTTGCCAAACTTCTACGGATGCCCAAAATGCCAAGAGCCTTTCCGCAGGTGGGACCCCCACCACCAAATCCTCAGATAAAACCCCTTAAGCCATCTCATCCCTTCCATCCCCCCCCCCGTTATCCTTTCCCCAGCAGATGGGCTGACTGCCCGCCCAAGAGCCCATGTTTCCATAGCAACAAGTAAAATGAACCATTTGATTCCTCCGCCCCCCCCCCCAGAACCTGCCCCCCTTGCCTGACTCCTGGGTCCCCTTTGGGCTGGAGGGAGGCAAGCCATGTGGGAGGCCCCTATTATTTCAGGCTACTAATGAAAAGGATCCCTGCCCTTGGTAGCTGTCACTTTGCACTTCCAAAATTAGGGAGTTCTTTTTGTATGTACGTAATAATTTTATCAACTATTACAATTAAAAATATAAAAATGAATAGAAACTGAAAGAATACAATGTTTAAAAGTGCAATAATTAAAAAATAGAATAGAATTAGTAAAAATAGAGTATATATATATATGATAGATAAAATAGTTTCTTTCTTCACAGCAAAAAAGTATAAAGAATTTATAAGTAACTGTTCGCCTTCTATTAAAATACCGCAGACGATGCCTTCTTTCCCTCATCCTTTATTAAGAGTTACCAGAGTTAACAATGTATCTACTTTAACCTTGATCAAATAAACCAACTTTAAATTCCTTCTTTTTAACAAACGTAATCTTTAATCGCTTCAGATAATGTTCTAGAGCTTGATTTCATTTTTTTTCTTCTCTCAAAAGTCTTCAAAATGTTAACGTCTGTTTTGTAAATCCAGTGTAAAATAAGTATCCTGGTTACTCTTTCAGTTTATGTATGCCTTGTAATTATTGAGACATCAACTGGTTTCATTTATAAATATCCAGTGTAGGATTTTCCCATCTCATTCTTATGGCGTGTCATTTTAAAGGTGTCATCTTGCATGACATCTTTTAAAGATAGCCTATAATGGCAGATTCTTTAGAAATTAGCTTCGGGGTCCACAGTTCAAAAGCATCTTTCAGTACGTCCAATATTAAAGTTTTCTGCTTCATTTTATTTTAAGTCAGAGTTAAGTATTGTTCTCCTTTAATTATACTCTTTAGTTCTTTCTGGTTCCCTCTAGTGTCCAACCTTCAAAGTCCCATCCTATCTTTTTTTTTTTTTTTTAAGAATGTATAACAGCATTTTTCCACAGAAAGTAGTCATATTATTAATTTCAAATTTTAATTTCAAATATATCAGGACTATTAATCAGTTTGCAACTTTCTAAAATCAACATTTTAATGAACCTTTTGCTCTTTATTGCACAAAAATGTCCTTAAACTTGCATTTAAAACTTATTTCACTAAAGATTGAAAGAAATTCAACTAGTATTGTGAAAACATGTTTCTCAACAGTCCTAAAATCTAAAAACAAAAATAATAAGCAATTTCCAAAAAGTGATTAGAAAAGGAAGTTACAAATCCAGTGTCCTTTTGACGGCTGCAAATTGAGCAAGTCGCCTCTTTCCTCATCTCCCAGAGTTTCAAATTGACTGCAGATTGCCGCCTCCCCTTTAGGAGCAACTGTCTGGAGCACTTGTGGGTGATCCCAAGTTTTCTCTTGGTCCAGGGAGGAGGAATCTTTGCTCCCAGTGGTGTTCGGTTTCCTATTTCTTCCCCATTATTGTTTGCCTTTTAACTGCTTTACTGGCCTGGTTTGCTTTTTAATTTTTGGGATGCTAAAAGATAGCAGAAAGAGGCAGCGATCCTGTACTTCCACGGTTGCACAAATAGATTAAAAGGGACATTGAGAAGGGATTTAGTGCCCACTTTCATGATTGAGGTTGTGTCTTAAACCTCCAACAAACGTTCAGCTAAGGCTTCTTAGCACCCCTCCCAGCTACCACTCTTAAATACTCTTCAAAACAGTGAAAAATTACCCAGCAGGCCAAGGAAGGTATGTAAATTACCTAAGACTGAGGGCGAAGGGCTAAGGACCAACCCTAAGCCTAACCCAACAGCAGCCCTGGCTACAGAGCTACAAACCACGTGGCTCTTCCAAGGGCTGAAGGATTCCAGGCAACCAGACGGGGGTCCTGCCTGCTACCCCCAACGGAGGGAGGGGGGGGTCTTGTTTCAGGCCACCATCCTTTGCAGCCACAACAGTAGAAGGGGGAGGGGGGGCAACAAAATGGCAGGAAATCTGCAAGAGAGCTGCTCACCCCCTCCTCTCCCCTTCGCAGGTAAGGGGCCTTTGCAAGGAGGGGGGTGGATCTTGCCCCCCCTTTGCGGGGCGCTTGTTCCATCCCACCTCCAGATGACCTTGACGCCCGCGGAGGGTCTTCGCTAAGACTTCGGACGGGGGGGGGGGGCAGCCCTAGACGAGCCCGCCTCTCCCCCGGTGCCCTTCCGGAGCTCCAAACCACCCGGCCTTCGATCTCCCGTTGCCCCCTTCGCTCCACCAACCCCTCTTCCTTCTCCTCCGAAGGAAGCCCTGCAAAGCAGCCGGCCGAGGTAGCCGGAGGAGTCCGCCAGAGTCCTCGCTGATACGGCCGTGGCGACTTTACAGCCAATGCATCTGGGGAAGCGACGCCCGTCCCTCCGCCCGGCTTCCCACGCGGGATTTCGAAGCCCCCCACCCTGCTCGGGCCAGAGGCCGATCCTTCCTTCGAACCAACGGCCCCCTTCCCTGCCGGGTCCCCCCAAGCACTCTTGGCCGAAGCCCAGCCAGGCAGCCCAAAGGCCGCGCCTCTTTGGCCGCCCAGACCCTCGGGGGCCCCGACCGCCCCGCGACGCCCCCAGCGCTGACCTTGCTCTGCTCGGGGGGGCCGTCCGCCTCCATCCCTCGTCCGACCGTCGCTCCGTCCATCTCCGCTGCAGATGCGCCGACTCACGTCCGCCTAGATGCTCTCGCCGCCTTCGCCGCCTTTATGGCTGCTGGGTCCGGCAGGGCGGGGGCCCCGTCGGAAGAGAGGCGCGGCTGCCTCGCCCCCCGATGACGAGAGCGGGGCGGGCGGTTGGGCCACCAGACGGGCGGGGGCGGCTGAGGGGCTTCCAGCCTCCCCTCCCTCCCCACCTCGCGCCGGGCTGGCGGGCCAAGGCGTCCAGAAGAGCCTCGCAGGCCAGCGCTCCCCTCGGCCCCTCCTGAGCCGGCGGGGAGGACCCGGCAGAGCCCCGAGGCTCTGCTCCAGCGCCGCAGCCGCTGCAAAGCCGGAGAAGCGGCCCCGGCTCCTTCTCCAGCTGCCCGCGCTCGGAAGCCGCGAGGAGAAGCTGCCCGGGCGGATCGCGGAGGCCGGCGACCCTCGGCCGCCCTCGCCCCCGGGCTTAGCCCGTGCTGAAAGCCGCTCGGCCGAAGGGAGCCCCGGAGGAGGGAGCGGAACGGGGCAGCAGCCGGCAGGGGCTGCTTGCTGCCTGGCACTGCCGAGGCTTCCTGGGGGCTTCCCCGCTTTGCTTCGGTCTCTGCCCGTTTCTGCTGGGGAGGGGGGCTGGGGGCTGGCGGGGCTTCTTCCTCCCAGGAAGCAGAGCCACCGAGCGGCGGCGGCGGCGGCTGTTGAGAAAACCCCCCGGCACTTGTGGGCTTCCCGAGTTCCGGCCCGGCCGCTTACGAGTGCGACGTGCCGCCTTGCGAGGTGCCCCCCCCTCCCTCCACTCCGAGTGGAAAGATTCGCTTCAGCATCACCACCAGACGCCGCACTGCCTTGCTCAGTTGCTATGGCAACCAGCCTGGCATCCAAAGAAAGCAGCCCTGCCAGGAACAGCAGCGGCTTCGGCTGGCACTTCCCTGGGTCACTGTGCCCAAAGGGACGATGAGGCTCTTGGTGGACATTCCAAAAGAGCCGAAGTCCCTGGGCTGGAGCCTTCTGGGTGGGGCCTGCAGAATTTTACAGAGCTGAGGAAAGTCCAAGGGATGCAAGGAAAGCAGCTTCTCTGTAGGAGGGATGGCAAAGGTTAGCCCCATCCATCCATCCATCCATCCATCCATCCATCCATCCAACCCTCCCAGGTGTTTTGCTCAAGTTCTACCAGGGTTTTTTATCCTAGGCCTAAAGCAAGTCGGGCAGGGGTTGCCAGTTGCCAGCCTCCCATCCTGCTTGGCTACTTTTTGTAGACTAGAATGGATGTGGGTGCTGTAGAAGGAGATGCTGCAAAGCCTCTGTACCATCTGAGGGGTCATTTAATTATCTCTGAACTGTTGCACTCCATTAAAAAATGGAAGTGACAGTGAATGGCCAAGGATAACACTGAGGGTTAAAAGGCTCATCATTGTATGAAAATAATTTTAAAAATACAGGTGGTTTTCCTTTTCTGAAAGTAGGGTTAATAAATATTAACAAATATATAAGTTTTTGCCCTCTGATGCTAAGGAAAACTGCAATTGTCAGAAATATCTGCCCAACACTTGATTAATCTACCCCAAACATCCCACAAAAGTGGGGTGATAGACAGGCAGGTGGGAGGGGGGGGCTCAGAAAGAGACTGTTATCGAGAGTCTGACATTCAGGATGAATCGGCCCCCCTGGGCGTCTTGGGGAAAAAACGAATGGATATCCAAAGTCCGGTCAGGGAGACCGATGGAGCCACAGCTATTCTTTCCCCCAACATCTGGCAAATCCAGGTGATATTTTGGACACACCTGGCACAAATGGCACTCCAGGTTGGAAGCGAGAGCCCTGGAAAAGACGGGCGTTTGGCTTCTCTTGCTGTTATTTCTCTGCACAGGATGCCAGCTGTGGTGAACCAGCTCCACTTACACGCTTTGGAGCAGCCGTCCAAGACGGTGCCGAATGCTTCGGGTCGGAGGCTGCATAACAGAAAAGGGGGAATGAAAAACAGGAAAGGTAAAGAAGGCTCCATTTTGCCCCAAGTAGGTAGCATTCAAAAAGAAAAAATGAAGCCATGACACGGCTACTCAGGGTTAGGGTCAGGCAGATTTATTTATTTATTTTTTGCCTGTGCACAAAAAGTGTGCTTACTCAAGTAAAGCCGTTCTATAATTAATTTCCCAAGAAGTCAGAGAAGCTGTTGGTGGCTGTGTGTGTGTGTTTTGTTTATTAACTGGTGATGAAACCAAAAGGGCAAAAGTGTAAACAGGAAGAAAACCTCTGAGCTCCTTTATTACTGCTAAAGAGGCAAGAGACGGATCTGAGCCACCTGTTGGTTTTCACCTGTGCTCCTCTCAGGGAATGTTACCGCCTGGGGAGGGGGAGGGGCAGCTGGACAAACCAGCCCAGCACTGTGTGTGGCCGAGTGGGGCAGTGGGTGGTGGTCCAAGCAGAGCTTCTGAGAGAGAGAGAGGCCGCAGAGGCCGTCCAGCTTCATCGCTACGCTCATCCTTGGATTTGGCAGTTATTTCTACCTGTGGAAACAACGGATCGATTTTTCTGGCCATTCACATTTCACTGAGTTGCCAAATGAAACTGGAGCCGAAATGTTGAACAGAAGAAATGGTCAGATGACAGCTAGGAATGGCGAATTGCATCACGCTTGACACTTTCGGTAATTTGATTGCAGCCGTCAGAGAGGAGAAGACATCCACAGCCCCTCTTCCCTGGCTGGGCTGCTTTCCCGACTCCTCCCCTTCAGGCCCACAGAACAGGCTCCTTTTTACCATTCTCCAAATTAGCCTCCAAACCAGTGGTGAAATAATTGTTACTACTGGTTCTGTGGGTGTGGCGTGGCTTGGTGGGCGTGGCTTGGTGAGCATGGCAGGAGGAGGATACTGCAAAATCCCCATTCCCTCCCTGCTTGGGGGCCAGCTGGGGGTGGAATTTGCCGGTTCTCCGAACTACTCAAAATTTCTGCTACTGGTTCTCCAGAACCTGCCCAATTTCACCCCTGCTCCAAATCCTTCACCTTCTTTGTGCTAATGATGCTAAGGAACCGGAACAAGTCCTGAGAACAGCGAGAAAGAAGGCGAAAGGTTTGGAGGCTAATTTGAAGAATGGTAAAAAGGAGTCGGTTCTGTTGGGCCTGCAGGAGAAGGAGTCTTCCGACCCAGGACAGAGAGCCTTCTTTCTCGCTGTTCTCGGGACTTGTTCTCCACCGGCGAAACCACCGGAGGAAGTGGGGGAGATCATAAGAAGCCCACAGGAAGCCAGAGCTGGGCCTCCAGGAAAGGGTGGGGTGGGCCACATGAAGTCCTTAACCTGGTTTTTTGAAGTTCTCCGTTCGAATGAGCGCACTCGAAGTATCAGTCAAGGCTTCGTCTTCCTTGCCGGGGGGGGGGGGTTGGGGGAGTCTAGCAGTGGATCCTACTTGACAATCTTTGCAGTAACCAAGAATGTTCTAAGGCCGTTCCAATTTTAGGTGGTCAGCAGATGAAGTGGCATCTCTTCAGGTAGGCTTCATGGAGCAGAAGGGGGAACGGTCCAAAAAGCCAGAATGACTTTCAAATGTGTTGCAAGACAGGCAGAGGGTGGGTGATCTCGTGGCCAAGGGCTTGATCCTTTGAGGACCTTCCAATCTGCACTGTTTGCCTGCAGAAGGGCTGCCACTCAAAGGCCTCCAGCTCAGCAGGGCGCAGAGAGAGTTCAAGCACAGGCTTTTCCCACATCAACTGGGAGAAGGAAGGAAGGACTCTTGTCTTCGGAGTCTTTATCCACCCCTCCCCTTTAGTTGTGGGGTTCTGTTTTGAGTGAGCACCAATGTCTGGGGGCCCCAACCCCCTCCCCCAGTATGAGTGCCAAACAGGGCCATTCTCACAAGCAAAGCCCTGAAGGGCATTTGAGTCAAGCCTCCCCTCCCCCCCCCAATCACCGCAGGAAATCTGCAAAGCAGAAAAGAGATACAAAATTGGCAGGGGGGGTGGTGGTGGTGGTGGGAGTTTCACAGAGGGGTACTTGTTGATGGACCCTGGTTATTCCCCCCTCCTCCTGTAAAGTGGAGACTTCCTGCCTTCAGTTCTCTTGTCCTCAGAAGGGCCCTTAAGCTGAGCTGCCCCCCCCTTTGCTCCTCCCTGCACAGAAGCAGCAGAGGCAGCCCCAGGCGCTTCCTCCAGGCATTAACAGTTGTGGGGGGGGGGGGAGGCTGTAGGGTTGGGGCAGAGCAGTTACAGCCCCTCCCAACAGGTAGGCTTCCTTCCAGGGGCCTGGCTGGTTGCTCTTCCCAGTTCCTCTGGCTGGTCGTCAAGGGCAGAGTGGGGAGGAGTGCAAGGCCCTCGTCCCAGCGGGGAGTAGTCTGGTTCTGCATTGCACCCACAGGTGTTTTCAATGTACCTCTTTACTGCCAGAGAAGGAGCAGAAAGGCAAATCCTAGGAAGCGGCCGAATGGAGCTGCTGCTGCTGCTGCTGCTTCCCTTCCTTTCCCTAAATAGCCAGGGGCTCTCCGGGTGGGTTGAAGCGGAGGGGAGCGCATGCTCTTCCGACGGGGGGCTCCCAATGGGGGCCTCCTTCAGCGCCAAGCGAGCGG